AGAGAAAGAGAGAGAGAGAATCTGCAAAACAACTACCACCACCAAGAGATGCAATCAGTGATGTATTCATTGATTTCAATTAAATTATTAATCAGTTGGTTAATATCAGGGGTCTTCAAACTTGGCCCTTTTATGACTTGTGGACTTCAACTCCCAGAATTCCTCAGCCAGCGTGCCTGGCGGGAGGAATTCTGGGAGTTGAAGTTCACAAGTCGTAAAAGGGCCAAGTTTGAAGACCCTGGTTAATATGGTAGTGGAGGGAGGGGGGAATCAGGAAATTTTTCCCTTAGCAAACCCTGGAAATCTGTAGGATTTATGAGATCCTGAAATTGACCTTAGGTTGTTGCAAAAGAGAGAAGAACTGTCCATCACAAACAGTGATGACAAAGGATCTACTTATGAAAAAAGAACCATCACAGTTACCTCCATTTATGGGGCATCTTCCTCGGCACAAAACAAAGTTGAATGTGTGAACCCATTAGGCAACCTCATCAGTTGACTAAAAAATAATCAAGGAGAGAAGCAACCTGGACTTAAGGAGAAACTTCCTAACAGTGAGGACAATTAACCAGTGGAACAGGTTGCCTCTAGAAATTTTGGGTGCTCCATCACTGGAGGTTTTTAAGAAGAGATTGGATAGCCATTTGTCTGAAATAGTATACGGTCTCCTGCTTGAGCAGGAGGTTGGACTAGAACATGGCTTTTCAACCAGTGGTACGGGTACCACCTGTGGTACATTGGCACCTGGCAGGTGGTATGCGACTACCCTAGAAAAGTGGTAGCAGGGGAGGGGAATGAGTTGAACTGGTGGCAGCACCGCACAAGCCTGAGCAAGAGATGGCTGGAGCTGCAGGGCTGTCAGGACTCAGCGGAAGCGCCAGGATCAGCGCTTCTTCAGGGCTGTCAGGGCTCAGCGGAAGCGCCAGGATCAGTGCCAGGCTCCAGCTGGGCCCAGAAAAAGCGCCGATCAGCTGGAATGTTGCAGCATCTCCAGGGTCTTGTGATTTACATTCAGATCCTTCGCAACTGATTCATATTTATGACGGTCACAGTGTCCCAGGATCATGTGAAGTGACCAAAACCTGCTGCAACCACCCAGCAGATGGGGGGAATAAAAACCAAACACACCCCCACCCCACTCCCACTGCCAATCCTCAACAAAAATGCTCACAACAATGGAAACCTCGGACAGGAGGAAGAGCACAGCCGGGTGGGCAGGCAGGTGTCTTTCTCGGCTGTGCCTTGGGGGGCACTTTTTTCAGTGCCATTGTAACTTCGAATAGTCACTAAGCGAACTGTTATAAGTCGAGGACTACCTGTATTTTATCACTTTTTTCCCCTTTTGGGGGGGGTCATCAAGTTTTTGACACCTTGCTAGGCAACTGGTGATACACGGATGTTGACATATCCTAAAAGTGGTACAATGGGTGAAAAGGTTGAAAAGCCCTGATCTAAGACACCTGTCTTTAGTTTGGCCAGAAGAATGGAATCTTCTGCCATCGTGCGAACTTCCTCCCCTGACCTCCTTTATATCTAAGCTTTTGAACAAGAAACCTAGTGAGACAATGACATCAGCCAACATGCCTAGCCAGATCTCCTTCACATCATCCAAGTTGGCATTTTCATCATGAATCAAATCTCCAGAAATGGGTTCTTATTTATTACCAACCTGAAAAGAAGAGAGGCAGGTCAGCTTAAAATGCCTGCCATGAAATGCTTCTTTTTCCTTGGGGACTCAGCCTAAGGAAGAGATGTTTGGAAATTGCTCTTCAAACCGCACTAAATGGCTGACTCAAAAACACACACAGCTGTGGAAAAGAGCATGCAAATGTGGCAAGCAGGATCCGTACAATATTTACGTTACCAACAACAAGCCTTAAACAAAATCGCTGCAACTTTGCAAACTCTTCTGAACAAAAAAGACTTAAGCCATGCATCTTCCACTAGAGAAATATTATCTGTTCACTGAAGGACACTGGTGGCTTCTCCCCAGCTTCGGTTTTACGCCTCCGTGGAGGAGCCATGTCGGTGTCAGGAGTTCACAACTGGCTCTGCCTTATTATCATCACAGCTGTGACTCTCGTCGGGATGACTGGAAACGGATTCATCTTTCTTTCGGACTGCCATGATTGGATCCGAAGCAAAGCACCATCGGGTCCTGGCCTCCTGCTGATGACGCTCAGCCTGACCCGATTTATTTTCCTTGGAATCATGCTCGGCTTCCATTGTTTTAGCTTCCTTGATATTAATCGACCAAAATATGTCGGAAGTGTCATCAGTTTCCTCTGGACCTTTTTCAATGCCACCACCCTGTGGATTACTACCTGCCTTGGAGTATTCTACTGTGTGAAAATTGTCAACTTCAGCCAGCCCTTCCTGGTGAAAATGAAGCTCAGGATTTCCAGCATGGTTCCCCATTTGCTCGTTGCGGTTGTCTTGGTTTCCTTGATTTCGGCTCTTCCTTTCCTCTGGATTGATGATCACAGTCAGTCTGACAACGCAGAGGGTGTACGTGAGTTGAGGGTTCAGACGTTCCTGTTCAGTATACTGTATACGCTAGGGACTTTTCCATCGTTTGTGATATTTTTAATTTCCTCTGGTTTTTTAATTTACTCCCTTGTGCACCACATGAAGAGAATGCAGAATAGCTCAGTTGGCTTTCGAGATCAAAGGATGGACGTTCATCTGAAGACTACTAAGATCTTGACCTCCTTCCTCATCCTCTATGCAGCAACCTTTGCAGCAGAAATCTCAATGATCTTTTCCCCCAGTCCCTGGACAACGGTTATATCCAACATAGTGGTTAGTTCATATAATTCAGGACACACCGTTGCTTTGATTGCCATGAATTCCAAACTAAGGGGACGATTAAGCAAGATGTTCTGGTGTTTCAGAAAACAGACATGAAGGATTGACTCCAGACTGCAATCACGCTTCAATCTTGCTCAAACAATTGCACTGATGATGTTACCAAGCAGGGCAATGAAACGTCTGCAAGAAATCAACCAAGTTCAACAAGGACCCCAACAGCTTATGGATGGAATTAACATTAATGACAACTCAAGATCCCACTAATTCTGTTGAATCTGTTCTATGTGTGGTTCACTATGAATTCAACTTGATGCCACTTTCCTAGTCCAAGGTTTCAATGGGACTTGTGGGTGGGCAGCAGGGTGTAGAATATTCTTAGTCCATGCCAGCTCTTGTTCTTCTTTCACTCAAAATCCTTTGAGTGTGTTTTGCCTTGAAGTTAAAGGTTTCCCAATAGATCTTAGGCACAGCTATTGTATTTCAGTAGAAGCTTCTATTTAGTGGAGCAGATTCCCTTCAGAAATTAGATTGATCCCCATTGTCCTGGGATCGTAGTGAGTGATCAGTTTAATTGATTTCATGATGATCATGGTTTTAGAACTTTATTCTTAATTTTGAATATGCTTGTGTTACTCATAATTAGCCACTGAGAGTTTATGATCTCTATCTGAACATGAATAATCTCTCTCTCTCTCTCTCTCTCTCTCTCTCTCTCTCTCTCTCTCTCTCTCTCTCTCTCTCACACACACACACACACACACACACACAAACACACACACACACATATACACGCACACAAAATCTACCTTTATATAATAAACTCTCAGTGGCTAATTATGAGCAACACAAGCATTTAAAATAAAACATTCATGTTTGGAATTAAATGTTTAGATAGCTATGGATGGGTGAATGGATGGATGGATGGATGGATGGATGGATGGATGGATGGATATGTAGAGATGATAGAGATTTTAGTACTGGTTACATAGAACCGAAGAGAAGATAAATTGGTTGGTTTCATCTTTTTGCATGTTCTTTTTCCTTAAAGTCAAGGTCCTTCATATTTTTATTTACACATTTGAAGTTTTGTTAACTTCTTATACTAGTTGAAACTGAATGAGAATCCTATGCTATTTCGTATCTCTTCTTTCCTGGTTTTTGGCATCTTCCTTTCACCTACTATGCTGAATTATGATTTTCTTTTCTCCAAATGTTGCTAGTAGGGTAGTGGTTAGCCTCCCCAGGTAGACCAGATAGGAAACTGCATCAGATGAGCTAATTCTACGTTACTATAAGACTATATTGCAAGTCTGAAAATACAATTCTCCGGCTGTCTGTTTCTATAGCCTCATAAGTTAGGGCAGATCCTTTCTGAGTTTCTTTCTCTGCCCGTTATGCAGCTGTGGGCTATGCCTTCCCTTATCTAACTGTTCCTTAGGCAGCATTTTTTCACCCGGTCTCCCATATTCACCCGGTCTCCCATATTCCATTATGGTAGCAAAGCAATAGAGAAGATGGTCTACATTCAGAAATCCCAGTTTTACTTCTTGTCATCAAATGCTCAAGAGATCTGCTGGCAATACTGTCTGCATCTTGCATATTGTCTGTGCAAGAATCTGTTAGGGTCTTCGGTGGGCTTTCTCCATTGGTCATCAAATTATTGAAAGAAAATTGCAATAGTTCTGTTAACTGGCCAAAGGTCCTCATAAAATTTCAATTCATCCTTGGACCTGAATCAGAACTTTCCCCTTAGATTTGTGAAATGCTAGCTGCTTACCCCCCAAAAACCATGGGTGGTCCTGTTAAAGTAGACTTTCAATATTTTTAGATGTCTTTGGGTATTTGTCACAATTATTACAATGTTTTAGTGTCCTGACTATTTCATTGTTTGAAATTATAATCATTTTCAAGTTGTGGTTTCGTTGTTGAAAGCCAACTGAGTCCCAAGAGGTGTAGAGCAGGGCGTAATTTTAAACATAGTTCTGAGAAGACTCCTGCCACTAAAATGGCCGTTTCACTGGATATGACAATTCACTGGGTCTTTACTCCAGTTTGGTCTAGAGCAGGCATGTCAAACTGCCGGCCCGCAGGCCGGATGTGTCATGCCGAAACCGCGCCCACCCCATTGCCAGCAAAGGGGAAAAAGTCACGATACGTCATGCGACGTCACGTGATGTCACGAGTTTGACATGCCTGGTCTAGAGGTTAAAGCACCAGGCGAGAAACTGAGAGAAGGTGAGTTCTAGTCCTGCCTTATGCCTGAAAGCCAGCTGGGTGACTTTAGGCCAGTGGTGGTGAACCTATGGCACGGGTGCCAGAGGCGGCACTCAGAGCCCTCTCTGTGGGCACACGTGCCGTCGCCCCAGTCCTAGGCCTTTAGCTGGGTTTTATAAAACCTTTTTGCTTTAGGCCTCCACCACCATGTGCAAAAAAAAAAAAAAAAAAAGAGGTTCAATCAGTCAACTTCAATTTCTTGTGGGAAAAAAAAGATCTTGCAAAGTTGGAATTGATTGATTGAACTTTTTAGTCCCACCCAGTCTGCCGTTACCCTCGTAGCCACGCCCACCCAATTGGCCACACCCACCCAACTGGCCACACCCAACTGGCACTTGACAATCCATAAGTGGGTTTTGGGTTGCAGTTTGGGCACTCAGTCTCTAAAAGGTTCGCCATCACTGCTTTAGGCCAGTGTTTCCCAAACTTGACAATTTTAAGGCATGTGGACTTCAACTCCCAGAATTCCACAGCCAGCGTTGCTGGCTGTGGAATTCTGGGAGTTGAAGTCCTCATGCCTTAAAATTGTCAAGTTTGGGAAACACTGCTTTAGGCCAATTTATGGGGAAAGAAGGAAGGAGTTCAAGTAGACCACAACTGAGCCCAAAATTTATGTTATTAAGTGAGACAGTTGCATATATGTTGTTAAGTGAGACAGTTGTTAAGTGAGTTTTGTCCCACTTTACAACCTTTCTTGCCACAGTTGTTAGGTGAATCACTGCAGTCGTTAAGTTAGTAACATGGCTCAAGTGAATCTGGCTTCCCTCATTGGCTTTGCTTGTCAGAAGCTCGCAAAAGGGGATCACGTGACACCCCCCCCCAGGGAGACCGCAACCGTCATAAGTACATGCCAGTTGCCAAGCCTCTGAATTTTGATCAGGGGATGATGCAACGGTCCTAAAATGGTCATAAATCACTTTTTTCAGTGCCGTTGTAACTTTGAACAATCTCTAAACAAACTGTTGTAAGTGGAGGACTACCCATATGAAATATGTTCACCACCTTGAGTTGTTTATAAAAATAATAAAGGCAGGAAATAAGATAAAATAAATAAAAATAATAGAGCAGAGTAGAAAATAGAATAGAATGGAATGGAATGGAATGGAATAGAATAGAATAGAATAGAATAGAATAGAATAGAATAGAATAGAATAGAATAGAATAGAATAATAAATGAAATGAAATAAAATAAATGAGTTTTCTTCTTATTCAGCACATCTGTCTGATAACCAAACACCTTAAGGTGTTCACCTTGAGCAAATGTTAATGGCTGCATCCGTCTTAATTTCAATATTGTTTTTTTTATGGTTTTAAATTATTTTTAGTGCTTTAACTGTAATACACATAGATTTATTTTTGAATTGTAAGCCACCCAGAGTCATTGATTGAGATGGGCAGCTACAGAAATCGAATGAATAAATGAATGAATGAATGAATAAATAAATAAATAAATAAAAGTGGAAATGAAATTCTGAACATCCTGTTTATCCTGTTCCAATCAGATTTGGAAAACAGAGAAGATGAGCAGAACACATCATGGCTTATGAGGGATGTAATCATACATAGCCGGTGTCAGTGCTGCGAGCATCAACAATGTGTCATCTAACTGTAAAGAGTTTACTACTGTGCTCTCCACTCTGCCACCCCCCTTCCCGCAGTTGTGTCCCAGGTCTTTTAAAAAATTTTTATTAATGACTTGGATGCCGAGATGGGAGGGACTGTTATCAAATCTTCAAATTTCATAGCCAGGGCCTCTGGAGGACAGAAATACAATTGAAAACGATGTTGATAGATTAGAGAAATGGACTAAAATCAGCAGAATGAAATTTAACGGAGGAAAATGTAAAGCTATCAATGGAGCCTATATAAATCAAACGTACAAATATACAATGGGGAAACATTTGGCTCTTTAATAGCAGGTGTGAAAAATACCTTGAGACCGTGGCTGATTACCAATTGAATTCAAATCAGCAGAGTGATGTGATTTGCAGAAGGAAAGACGAAAGAAGGAAGGAAAGAAGGAAGGAGAAGGGGAAGAAAGGAAGGAATAGGAAGGAAGGAAGGAAGGAAGGAAGGAAGGAAGGAAAAGGAAGAAAGGAAGGAAAGAAGGAAGGAAGGAAGGAAGGAAAACAAGGAGGGGGAGAGGAAGAAAGGAAGGAAAGAAAGAAGAAAGGAAGGAAGGAAGGAGAAGGGTAAGGAAGGAAAAGGAAGGCAGGAAGGAGAAGAGAAAGGAAGGAAGGAAAAGGTAGAAAAGGAAGGAAGGAGAAGGGGAAGGCAGGAAGGAAAAGGAAGGAAGAAAGGAGAAGGGGAAGGAAGGAAGGAAAAGGAAGAAGGAGTAGGAAGGAAAGAAGAAAAGAAGGAAGGAAGGAAGGAGAAGAGGAAGGAAGGAAGGAAAGAGAATGGGAAGGCAGGAAGGAAAAGGAAGAAAAAAAGGAAGGAGAAAGGGAAGGAAGGAAAAGGAAGGAAGGAAGGAGAAGAGGAAGGAAGGAAAGAAAAAGAAGAAAAGAAGGAAGGAAGGAAGGAGAAGAGGAAGGAAGGAAGGAAAGAGAATGGGAAGGCAGGAAGGAAAAGGAAGAAAAGAAAAGGAAGAAAAGAAGGAAGGAGAAAGGGAAGGCAGGGAGGAAGGAAGGAGAAGAGGAAGGAAGGAAAGAAAAAGAAGAAAAGAAGGAAGGAAGGAGAAGGGGAAGGAAGGAAGGGGAAGGCAGGAAGGAAAAGGAAGAAAGGAAGGAAGGAAGGAGAAGGGGAAGGAAGGAAGGAAAAGGAAGAAGGAGAAGGAAGGAAAGAAGAAAAGAAGGAAGGAAGGAAGAAAGGAAGAAACTAGCATATATTTATGGCAGTTGCAGTGTCCCGGGGTCATGTGATCACCTTTTGCAACCTTCTGACAATGAGGATTCGCTTAATAGAGTCACCGTGTAGGGAAGATGAGGGCATAACAAACAAACAAACAAACAACCACATTACTAATTTCACAACTGCAGTGATTCACTTAACCTCTGTGTCGAGAAAGGTCGCAAAATGGGGCAAACCTCACTGAACCATTGCTCAGCAATGGAAATCTTGGGCTCATTTCTAATCATAGGTTGAAGGACCTCCTGTACCATGTCCCTCAGCGCCTCCCACCTGATAGCTAAAAATCCCTCTTTCCAAAGAGATTCTGGATAAAGGGGAGAGAACGACACGAAGTGTGCTGGACCAACTCACTGGAACTCAGCAGAGACCCACAAGCCAAGAAACAGTTTGCTAAATCTATCCTCTCCACCTTTATACCATCAATTACTGTCCTTCACACATTTCCCCAACCACCAAAGCATGGCCTGTTCATTGAGCCAAGCCGTAGAAAGCCATTTCTTTCAGCACCTGTTTGAAAGCACACAAGAAGAAAAAATATCCAAGGGAGAGATACGAACGGTTGCAGGATTTGGGTTAGGCCAGTCTAGAGCAGTGTTTCTCAACCTTGACAATTTTAAGGCATGTGGACTTCAACTCCTAGAATTCCACAGCCAGCATTGCTGGCTGTGGAATTCTGGGAGTTGAAGTCCACATGCCTTAAAATTGTCAAGGTTGAGAAACACTGGTCTAGAGAGAAGAAGGACTAGGGAGGATATGATAGCAGTATTCCGGTATTTGAGAGGCTGACACAAAGAAGGAGAGGGGGTCAAATTCTTCTCCAAAGCACCGGAAGGCAGGACAAGAAACAACGGATGGAAACTGATCAAGGAGAGAAGCAACCTGGAATTAAGGAAAAGCTTCCTAACAGTGAAGACAATCAACCAGTGGAATAGCTTTGCCTTCAGACGTTGTGGGTGCTTCATCACTTGAGACTGGACAGCTGCTTGTTTGAAATGGTATAGGGTCTCCTGCTTGAGCATGGGGCTGGACTAGAGGACCTCCAAGGTCCCTTCCAGCTCTATTCTGATTTTTTGAATATGCACCCTCTCCAAGGAACTGAGAATCTGAAATCTGACACTCGGGAGGAGAATGAAAAATAGGAAGGGCAAATGTAACAAGTGCAGGTGCATCCGTCAGCATCAAAACCGCAGTGAAATGATGCCCCATATTTGCATGCTCTAAAGCAACACCGGAATAACACACAGAGTGTCGATTTTCACAACCTTTCTGGTTGAGAGAAAAGGCAAAGTCGGAGAACCAGACCTATCCTCCATCAAGGGAACGTAAGAAGGAATATTTGTATCTGGTCAAATGGATGGCGAATATATATATGTAAGCATCCTACACGCAAAGTGGCCACTTCTCCATGCTATCTCTGAAGGAAGTCAACAGAAGATCTTTTGAGGGATCACCAAGAAGTTCTGATTACTGGAGGAAAGTGAGACAGGAAAGAAAAGGAGATTTCAACCTAATCATGTCGCCGCTTATGCAAACCATCTTCCAGGTTGCGATCACAGCCCACAGCTCTCTGGGGATGGTTGCAAGTGGCTTTATTGTGGTTGCCAGCTACACAATGTGGGTGAAAGGGAAAAAAAGTGCCCACTTGTGAAGTCATCCTGATGTGCCTTAGTTTGTCTCGGATTCTCCTACAAGGAACCATCCTGCACTGCACATTTTCTCCCACGCTATACCAGTGGAATGCCCTCAGGATCCAGTCTGTCCTTCTGGTGTTAGCCAGCACAGCTTGTCTGTGGTTTGCTGCTTGCCTCAGCGTCTTCTACTGTGCCAAAATTGCCACTTTCACTCACCGGTACTTTCTTCTGGTGAAGCTGAGAATCACAGAGATGGTTCCCATGATTCTTGTGGGGTCCGTGTTGGTCTCTTTGGTTTCGTGTCTCCCTTCCATCTGGGTGGATTACAACATCCTGCTGTGCAACTCAACTGGGAACCATCTGAAGAACATCACCGTGGAGAACCAGGTGGGAGGCATCTCCTATCTGAAAGCCTTCTACATCTCACTTGGGCCGCCCTTCCATTTTTGCTTTTCGTGGCATCATCCACTTTGTTAATTGCCTCCCTGTGGAGACACACCAGGCAGATGAGACAGAGCACGATGGGTCTGAAGGATCCAAGGACAGAGGCACACATTGCGGCCCTCAAATCCTTAATCTCTTTCCTAATACTCTACATCTGCACTTTTGTAGCTGATGTCCTGCATGGGACTCCCTCCTGTAGACTTGGAATTGAATGGAAAAGAAACATCTGTTTATTTGTGATTGCTGTGTGCCCTTCCATCCATGCCGTTCTATTAATTTTCTTTAATGTCAGACTTAAAAGCATCCTGCTTTACGTGGCATGCCATCGGAAAAAAGACTTTAGGTAGTTGCCATGGCATTGAAAAAAGGGACTTAAGACCGTTTTTCATCCTTATGATCATTGCAGCAACTCCAGGGTCACGTGATCAAAATCTGGATGCTTGGCTTGGAAACCGCTTTTGGGACTTTGTGCTGGAGGTGGAAAAAAACCCGAAACTTGGATTTGGGGTTTACCGATTAGATAGTTTTGTCGTTATAGAAATCGCTAGTTTATACTATTATGTAAAATAAAAAGTTAAGGTTTGATGTTATTATTTTAATTTACTGCACCAAAGAGAGTCAGACGTCAATGCCTTTTCTTTCTTTTTCCCTCTTTCCCTACACTTTTACCTTCCTTTCTCCCTTCTCTATTTTCCCTACTATTTCCTTTTGTATTTTTGTATTTTATATTATAAACTAATAATAATAATAATGTACATGTATAGTATAGGGGGTACCTTGCTCAATAGTAGTAACTGTGAGAGGGATCTCGGAATCCTAGTGGACAATCACTTAAATGGGAGCCAGCTGTGCGTTGCAGCTGCCAAAAAAGCCAACACAGTGCTGGGCTGCATTAACAGAGGGATAGAATCAAGATCACGTGAAGTGTTAATACCACTTTACAATGCTTTGGTAAGGCCACACTTGGAATCCTGCATCCAGTTTTGGTCACCACAATGTAAAAAAGATGTTGAGACTCTAGAAAGAGTACAGAGAAGAGCAATAAAGATGATTAGGGGACTGGAGGCTAAAACATATAAGGAAAGTTTGCTGGGATTAGGTACGTCTAGTTTAATGAAGAGAAGGACGAGGGAGGACATGATAGCTGTCTTCCAATATCTCAGAGGCTCCCACAAAGAAGAGGGAGTCAAGCTATTCTCCAAAGCACCTGAAGGCAGGACAAGAAGCAATGGATGGAAACTAATCAAGGAAAGAAGCAACCTAGAACTGAGGAGAAACTTCCTGACAGTGAGAACAATTAACCCGTGGAACAACCTGCCTCCAGAAGCGGTGAATGCTCCAACACTGGAAGTTTTTAAGAAGAGACTGGACAGCCATTTGTCCGAAATGGTATATAGGGTTTCCTGCCCTTTTGTGACCTTCTGACAAGCAAAGTCAATGGGGAAGCCAGAATCATTTGGGTTACTAACTTAACAACTGCAGTGATTCACTTAACAACTGTGGCAAGAAAAATCGTAAAATGGGGCAACATTCGCGATACTCCTAAGACTTTTCTGAAGAAAGATGAAAACAGAAGGGACCTGAAACCTCAGCTTATTGCTCTTATCTTGAATACTTACATCCACGTTTTATCCTCCTAGCGCCTGTCTCTAGAGTCTAGACACTTTCTCAATTAGATGTAGAGAACTCCTACAAAATGCAGCTTTGTAAATGACTGAATTAAGCAAATTTGAATCGGCTCCTAATGACTGCATAAAATTAAAGCTGCTGTTAGGATATAAATAGCCTTATAATTGTACATATGCAGAACTTTGAGGGGGCAGAGTCCAATCAAGCTTCATAATTTAAATCAGTTCACGACGGATTATTTTGCTTTTTTAAAAGTCGTGTTTGGTTCTGGTTTTGACGGGGAGAATTGATGAAACGAGATCGGAAAGATGCTTTCAAAGACGATACATCAGGGCTGGGTTAGCTGGTTTGAAATTTACAAAGGGGCCAGCCGAGGCCAAAACCTACAATCGTGATTTTATATTTGTTCAGCAGAGAACCACAAAAGCATTTGAAATAATATTTGTGCCAAGGTAATTTTCCTTTTCCAGAGGGAACGAGGGTCTCACCAGGACCAGATCTCATCAGCAAAACTCTAAATGAGATGGCAGCCGTGTAAGAATTTTCTATACAGTACATCTTTGCTTCCATTTGGTAGTTGTCCAAATATTTATAACCCAGATTGGGGAGCTCTACTAGCAAGGCAGAAGGTCATTATTGTGAGAGCCAGTGTTATATATACTCCTTGGCAGATGTTTATTTTTGTATTTCTTCCAGGTTTTCAGATGAGAGTTATCTCACTTATACTGGGAGATATTACAGATTGAATATTGAATGTATAGAAGAGAAAGAAGGTACAGGTATAGTATAGGGGGTACCTTGCTCAATTGTAGCAACTGTGAGAGGGATCTCAGAGTTCTAGTGGACAATCACTTAAATATGAGCCAGCCGTGTGCTGCAGCTGCCACAAAAGGCAACACAGTGCTAGGCTGCATTAACAGAGGGATAGAATCAAGATCACGTGAAGTGTTAATACCAGTTCACAATGCCTTGGTAAGGCCACACTTGGAATACTGCATCCAGTTTTGGTCACCACAATGTAAAAAAGATGTTGAGACTCTAGAAAGAGTACAGAGAAGAGCAACAAAGATGATTAGGGGACTGGAGGCTAAAACATATAAGGAACAGTTGCTGGAATTGGGTATGTCTAGTTTAATGAAGAGAAGGATGAGGGGGGACATGATAGCAGTGCTCCAATATCTCAAGGGCTGCCACAAAGAAGAGGGAGTCAAGCTATTCTCCAAAGCATCTGAGGGCAGGACAAGAAACAACAGATGGAAACTAATCAAGGAGAGAAGCAACCTAGAATTAAGGAGAAATTTCCTGACAATTAGAACAATTAACCAATGGAACAACCTGCCTCCAGAAGTGGTGAGTGCTCTAACACTGGAAGTTTTTAAGAAAAGATTGGACAGCCATTTGTCGGAAATCGTGTAGGGTTTCCTGCCTGAGCAGAGGGTTGGACTCGATGACCTCCAAGGTCCCTTCCAACTTTATTATTATTATTATTATTATTATTATTATTATTATTATTACACTTGCAGCTGTTCAGTGATTCCAAGCTAGGCCCTTGCTTGACCCCTCCTTCCAGCCTAGCTGGCAGTTTCCCCAAAATCTACTAAATGGAAGATAATCTATTTCTTTTTCCCCCCTTTTAATTTTATTTAAAATGTTAACACTAGAGACTATCCCAAGTGGGATAAATACCAGAAGGATGCTACGGGATGCTGCTACATTGCTTCCAGGGGATTTTAAGTCAATGTTAAAACCAGATGGTAGCTTCCAGATTTCATAGATCCTTAACAGCTTTAAAAATAGGGGTGATGTGGCCAATGAGGCTGCTGCGTCTAGACCAGGGGGTCTCATATAAGGCCCTTCCTATCCTAAATCCAAACCCTCATTTTCATAATAAGACATACATAGATGGAAATATTCTTTGGGAAAAGGAGAGCGACCAAGAAAAAAAAATGGATTTCCTTTCTTATCTTACTTTCCCATTCTATTTGCCATTTACAGTTGGCTTAGCATTTCATTTTTACAAGTTTTATCTTGGCTAGTATGATTTCTACCATTAACTCAGTGATTGTAATACATTCTCATTATTATTTTTTTATTGATCCAGACTTGGACTTAGGGAAAAACAATGAAAGCAACATGCGATAGGACCTTATTGATTTCTTGACTTCAGAAGGAGTTTTCAGATCTATAGCCCAACATTTTTCCCAATGTAGATTCTAAAATATTAGATACAATCTCAAACAACCAACCAAACTGTTCATTTAGTGACTGTTCAGAGTTACAACGACACTGGAAAAAAAGTGACCGATAACCATTTTTGACTGTTACTAACTTAATAACTGCAATGATTTACGGAACAATTGTGATAATAAAGATTATCAAATGGGGGCAAATCTCACTTAACAACTGTCTCACTTAGCCACAGAAATTTGGGGCTCAGATGTGGTCATAAGTCGAGGATCAATTGCACTTTCTTTCTTACAACTACCTTCTGCCTCCATAATTTCATGAAATTTTCATTCCATAATTTCATGGAATCTGGGTGTGAAAGTTAGGCGTTGTCATTGAGAACCCCTTGTTGTCTAGATATTTTGAACTTCTGCATTCTCATATATTTTTTTGTCCTTCTCCAGAACTAATTTTTAACATGAGTCCTTGTTGTAACTGCTCCTGAAGGTGACCTCATAAAGCTTTCTGGATGCCAAATGCCTATCTTAACCCTGAGGTTTTCAATCACAAGTGGGTCAGGACCATATGATACTGAACTAAGATGCCTTGTAATTCTGGTCCGGACAGCATTAACTCAACAAAAATGGTTTTAAACAAATATTTATTGACCAGGAATTCTAAGCAAAGACTTACTATGCTGTAGATGCATCTGGGCTTTGCATATCTGTCCGTTTTTCGTAGGTTAAAAAAAAGCGGTAATTCTCCATATCAACTGAGCGTGGTTACAGATGCCATCCATGCATACACATGCTGGTTACACAAAAGCTTTTACAAGCCTGACATGTAACAGGATGTCCTGCAATAACTTTTTAACGCCTCCCACTGTCTAGATAAGAAATGGATCTGACTAACATCTAAACTACATTCCCCATAAGCTATCTCTTAAGGAAACAGCGTTTAACCCTTTAAATGCTAAATGCTCTAACATACAGTTCTCATTCAAATTAGATTATTTAAAATAAATGATAAGCACCTAGAGGGCACTTAGGTAAAATCACTCAAGGGGAGCATTTTCCTCTGTAATTTGGGCTGAGTTCTGATGGAAGGGAACAGGGGTGAAGATGACTTGATCACATGCAATCTGATCAGTGGTGGGATTCGGCCCATTCGCACCACTTTGGCAGAACCGGTAGCTAATTTTTTTTTTGTTGCCCAAGCCCAGATTGGACTTCCGGAAGCGGCATTTATTTATTTATTTATTTATTTATGAGATTTATATACCGCTTTAAGTGCAAGCACTCTCTAAGCGGTGTACACCAGTAAGCAATGTATATATATATTTACATTGCCCCCAACAATCTGGGTCCTCATTTTACCTACCCCGGAAGGATGGAAGGTTGAGTCAACCTTGAGCCGGTGAGATTTGAACCACTGACCTGCTGAACACAGTCAGCTAAAGTGGCCTGCAGTACTGCACTCTAACTGCTGCGCCACCTCGGCATACACACAGAGAACCGGTTGTTCACCGATTTGAATCCCACCATTGAATCTGATGACCTCATAAGTTTGGCCTAGAAACCAGCCCAACAGCTACTTCCTTGGACCCTTAAAAATGTTCCTTAATTTGCCAATAATTGAAAGTGAGACTCTTGACAGTTTAACAATCACTGTATAAAACTCACCTGGTAAACCTTTTCATTCCATATCCATATTTTGCTTTCCAGCCAATTATTTCCCAGTCTTGTTACCAGCTTCCTCCTGCAAGGAGATGTTAATAACATTAAGTGAGTTGCAGACAATGACAAAGTTAGCTGCCAGGCTGGCCTTCTGCACATTTTTTGACTGGTCATTAGTTAAGGGGTTGCTGGAGGGAGAATTTGACAGATTTCCAAGGTGTCATGGTTTTCTCATTAGAAAAAGGAGGGCACGGTTACCGCGGTGTGCCAAATATATGCAATCAAATCGGGTCAGTGCGATGGAACTTTTTCTGTCTCTATCATAAAACCGGGAGAGATACTTTTCTTAGTAAGACATGTGTAGGATAGGGGCTGCAGATATGTGATAGTAATCTAATATAGGCATGGGATAAAATGGGTTTTAGTGTTTAATATAATATAGCAGGGGTGTCAAACTGTTGGCCCATGGGCCGGATGCGTCATGCCGAAAACGTGCCCGTCCCATTGCCAGCAATGGAAAAAAAGGCGCAATACATCTCGTGACATTGCGAGTTTGACACCTCTGTCATATAATATCTGAAGGCAAGACAAAAAGCAATGGATGGGAATTAATCAAGGAGAGAACCAACCAAAACTACGCAAGGAGAGAACTAAGGAGAAATTTCCTGACAATTAGAACAATCAGTGGAATGACTCCCTCCAGAAGCTGTGGGTGCTTCAACACTGGAAGTTTTTAAGAAGAGACTGGGCAGCCATTTGTCTGGAATGGTATAGGTTTCCCTGCCTGAGCAAGGGGTTGGACTAGATGACCTCCAAGGTCCCTTCCAGCTCTGTTATTCTCTTATAATAGTAAAGGCACCAGAGTAGAAACCAGGAAATGGTGAGTTCTAGTCCCACTTTAGGCATGAAAGCCATCTGGGTGACTTTGGGCCAATCACCAGGAGACTGTGAGTTTTAGTCTCACCATAGACATTCAGGTGGTTGAGCAAACCTGGGCCAGTCACACTCTCTCAGCCCTAGGAAACAGGCAATGGCAAATTGCTTCTGAATAACTTTGCCAAGAAAATTGCATGAATTTGTCCAGGGGGTCACCAGGAGTCAAGATTGACTTAAAGCTACCATTCATGCACACATTTAACATATGGATACCTTTTGCCAACAAAAACTAATAGTTTTTCAAAGTTCAGCAGATAATAACAGAATAACAGAGCTGGAAGGGACACTGGAGGTCTTCTAGTCTAGCCCCCTACTCAAGCAGGAAACCCTATACCAGTGATGGCGAACCTTTTAGAGACCGAGTGCCCAAACTGCAACCCAAAACCCACTTATGCATCGTTGGGTGCTGGGTGGGTGTGGCCCATTGGGTGGGCGTGGCTGCGGTGGTAACAGCAGACTGGGTGGGACTAAAAAGTTCAATCAATCAATTCCAACTTTGCAAGATCGTTTTTTTTCCCATGAGAAGTTGAAATTGACTGATTGAACTTTTTTTTTTTGGCACACGGCAGCAGAGGCCTAAAGTGAAAAGGTTTTATAAAACCCAGCTGAAGGCCTAGGACTGGGGCAATGGCGCACGTACCCACAGAAAGGGCTCTGAGTGCCACCTCTGGCACCCGTGCCATAGGTTCGCCACCACTGCCATATACCATTTCAGACAAATGATCGTCCAATCTCTTCTTAAAACCTAAATATTTTTAAAAAGGTGGATAGTCTTCCTGGTGCAGAATATTAGGGAGGCCAACAGCCAGTAACTACCTGGATTAGGCTGATCTGACAAGCAACTCTAACAGTCTAGAGTAGAGTAGAGTAGAGTAGAGTAGAGTAGAGTAGAGTAGAGTAGAGTAGAGTAGAGTAGAATAGAGTAGGATAGGATAGGATAGGATAGGATAGGATAGGATAGGATAGGATAGGATAGGATAAAATAGAATGGAATG